ACATAATAAGCCTTTATGCTTAAAAGCTGATAACAGTCTAATTTCTAACTATAGCAGATAAGATCATTATTAAACTGGTAAGTAATACCTGCCAACTCGTCTGTTTTTCATGGGAGTATCCCGTATTTCAGACCAGTCTCCCGCAACCATCCCGTTTTTATTTCTTCCAACTTTGTTACAGTACCCGATCGCAGCACCCACCCATAACCCGCTGCATCCTGTCCCGGTTCTCAACAGTATTATTCACCCCCGAACACCCCCCCCCCCTTCCGGTCTCTCTGGTTTTCAGAGACATGTTGGCAGGTCAGATGATCTCTCATTTTAGTATATTGTAGTGCTGTGTTTATACCGCTTTTCTCACATATATGAATGTGTGCTGTGTTGGCAGATTGAAATAGACAAAGTCTGCACGTGTTTAGCAATTTTCCTTATCGCAAAAACAACAGCAGTCAGATTTTTTCGTGGTTAATTATTTACGTTATAAAACGTTTTCATCGTTTTAATGTAGACGGAGAGTTGTTCAGAAATGCTGGGTGAAACGCTAGTGTGGATGCGGATGGTTTTCATTCTAAAAGGCCGTTTTAAAACTAAAACGAACTAGTGTAAACGGGGCCTCAGACCACGTCTTTCAGGTGGACTTGGGTACGGTTCACAGATGTGCACCTGAAATCAGAAACCATGTTCACACTAGCTAAACGTACCATACTCTGAGGTGAAACCAACCTGGGTGCAGACCAAAAGTGCTAGTGTGAAAGCACCGAAAAACTTCTGGTCAGTTAATCAAATTAAAATCTCTTAAAGTATATTTTTTCTCACTAGGTTTCAAAAAAGAGCTTCTTATAACCTACAAATGTGACTTACTTGTTTTTCTCTTTCTTTCTATTCAATGTTGTCTACCCACTCATTGCTTTTCTCCCATCCACAGTCAATACTGTGCTGTACTATTCTCCTCATTCACTCCACACCATTTCTTACTGCCTGAAGCAACCCAGTGACTCAGTGATTCATTATCTATGCCATTGTCACTGTAAACAGCTCGCACATTGCTAGTTTCCAGTCATTTCATTCACCTGAACTCAAACGAAAAAAGACCATGCTTTGAGTCTGAGATGAATCTGACAGCACCTAATCAAATCGCATTAATCTACAGTGTATTTTGAAAGGATCTATTACAAGAAAAAAAATGAGAATTCTTGAACGTTGTGTCAATGCAGAAAAACCTCAGTGCACATTTCTGAAACTGGCCTAATGGAAGCTCTTCTAACCGAAGGATGATTTGCAAACTCACACCTCCTCAGCTCAGCAAAGACACGATCACTTATTCTCAGTCTGCTTGACAGGTGTTTTTTCTTGCAACCACAGATGCTTTCTAGAGCAGTTTCAAGTAATTCTGAAATAACACATAATTACTTTTTCTTTCGAGCCAGCTCTCTTTGTGCTTTGGGTTTAGTCATCTTCCTCAAAACCATGAGCCAAAACCAGACCCAGATAATCACATAGTCAAAGCAAAACTTATTCAGACATCTTCATTTCTTGCATTAGCCATAACACATTAACAACAGCACATAACTATTATACAAGGTATATCATGGTTTACAATCAACCAAAAATAATTATGTAATATTTACACAACTATCTTTGATGATCATCCTGAGCCTCAATCACAGCCTGTAGTTTCTGTTGTCAACCAGGGGTGTGACCATTTGGTGTTTCTGTGTGGAGTTTGCATGTTTTTCCCTTTTTCGTGTGGGTTTTCATCCGGTTGCTCCGATTTCCCTCACAGTCCAAAGACATACGCTATAGGTAAATTTGATGTGTGTTTTTTAGACTGGGTTGAGGTTGGAAGGGCATCCATTGCATTAAACATATGCCGGAATAGTTGGTGATTCATTTCGCTTTGGCGACCCCTGATAAATAAGGGACTAAGCCGAAAAAAATAAATGAACAAATGAACCAGGGGTGTGTTTCCAAAAACCATCATTAGCCATTGATTCGGTGTTTCCCGAATCAATCGTTTCCTGTGGTTGCAACTACACCTCTTGAGCTGTAGTTAGAAGCATACCTCTTAGTTGTATACTATTTCAAGTTTTCCCCCTGTGCCCAATTCTTTTCAAACATCCACTTTGGTTATTAATAAAAAAAGTGCTTAAAGATACACTGTAAAAAATTCTGGGTTCCACACAATTCATTTATGTTGTCCAACACAACACAAATCGATTAAGTTTAATTGACACTTTTAACAAATTTATATGGACTGAGCATAAGTTGTCCAAATAAAACTCAAGAATTGTGTAATTCAGCTCATTTTTAATAAGTAGCTTGAAGTTTGTAGCTTTTTGTTTTGTGTGTGTGTGTCTATCTCAAAGTTAATTTTTTACACTTCAGTTTTTGTGAACTTCAGATTAACGATTGTTTTCCCTTCATAGTGCACTCAAAAATTAGTTATGGCATTTTGAACGCAGCCGTGGCTCATACCAGAAGCTATAGGTGACCTATGATTTACAAGCAAAAATCTCCAAAGCTTGTGAAAAGAAAAAATATATAGGATAAGTAAAATTGTTTTAATTTAGTACTGTATATGATTTTATCTGCACGGTATAAAACATATAGGCTACAACATTTCTGCAGGGGTTAGAGTGTGTCAGAGTTGTAAAAGTAGACAATAAAAAAAGTATATCTACTTAATAAAAAAATAAAATAAAATAAAATAATAATAATACAATTTCTGAATCTAAATTCAATGTCCAGTGACTCCTGTACCTCAATAAACTTTCCACTGGAAGGGTTTTAGGGCAAGCACGGTGGATACAATTCGAGCCACTTTGAATTGTTATTGCATACACATATACAATTTTCATCCACAAACTTGGCAGCCTGAATACTAACGCTACACTAGTCTATCAACACTTCCTTGTCTAATTAAACAGTTGCTAGGTTATTAACCGGCAAGAGCACCAGCCCCGAACAATAACAATCTCAAAGAAAAGATTCGAAAAATGAATCTTGCATCTTGATGCATACACGGACACAATTTATTAGCTAGGAACAGTAATACACATATCGGTGATCTAGTAGAATTCTGACATATATGAAATACAATATAAATGTGCCTGCGTTTAAAATAATATGGTAAATGTTAGGGATGTCCAGATCCGATCACTTGATCTGAAATCAAGCCAGATGATACGGTTTCAGACTCAATTGGAATTGGACATTACCTCCCGATCAGGTATATATTCAAATTATTTTTACATCTATTTATATATATATATATATATATATATATTTTTTTTTTTACATCTTTATATACTTACTTGACTTCACACAGAAACAGCGTGCCATGACATTACTTTGTTGTAGAGGCGCTATTGGTTAATTGCCGGCAAAACAGAACACGGAAGCAGCTTGAAGCAGAAAGCACAAGTATGTCTGCGGTCTGGAGGTATTATAAAGTTAATGACAACATTGCCATAGCCAACTGTGAGATATGTAAACTTGGGATTGTCTGCCGGGTATGTATGAGGTGCTTTTTGTTTTTATATTGATTTTTTTTTTAATATATTTACTGTTGCACTAAAGTCCCAAAAGTGAAGAATTTATGTTGGTTATTACTTGATTGTTCAAGCTACCTCACAGAAGTGCTCTGTTCGTTAACAAAGTTGTTGAAAGTTAAAATAAGACGAATTAATAAAAAAAAAAAAAGTAACATCCTGGACCTGTTTCTTTACTCCTCTTTATTTTTTGATGTATTATAGATGTATCAGATCGGGTTTCGGTATTGGCAGATACTCAAAATCAAATGACAAATGACTTGGACTCGAAGGTAAAATAAAAACCTGATCGGGACATCCCAAGTAAATATACACTTTTTTTTTTCAAATAACCCAGAACATACAAACATTTATCACTTATAATATACATATGCAAACAATAGTTACACATACTGGAAAGTCCTACATGTAATTATGGAAACAAATAAATAAAAGTAGTTTTTGCATGATTTCACCATATATCTGATTTATAGACTAGATGAGATTCACGGATGTTTTAGCTACTGTAATTGGTTTTATGTTTTAGAATAGCAAATGGAATATTTTCAATAATGTTTGTAAAAGAAATAGAGGCTATATTTGTTCTGTTTACATTGTGGAATTACATATGGAAAACGAATACATGTTTTTACCAAAACTAATATTGGCATTTCTGTGTGGAGTTTGCATATTCTCCTTGGGTTTGCATGGGTTTTCTCAAGGTGCTCCGGCTTCCCCCACAGGCCAAAGACATGCGCTATAGGTGAATTGAATTAACTAAATTGGCTGTAGTGTATGTGTGTGAATGAGTGTGTATGGAAGTTTCCCAGTACTGGGTTGCAGCTGGAAGGGCATCCACTGCGTAAAACATATGCTGGATAAGTTAGCTGTTCATTCAACTGTGGTGATCCGAATAAGGAATTAGTAAAGGGACTAAGCCGAAAAGTAAATGATTGAATGAATGAATGAATGAATGAATTAATTAATTAATTAATTAGTTAATGGATTTACTCTAAAGAAGTTATTACTCCGCTCCATTTAGAGCATCATTCTGGACGTATTAAGTATAACTATCTGTGACAGAGCAACTATGGTTTTGGAAACACTTGTCACTACATAGTTCATTTCCCAAGCAATACATAGTACTATGGTAGTTCACCTGGGAGTTTTGTCATTGTTTGGGAAATGCATCCCTGATTGATTCAAACATGAACTTCAATATTTTCTCACCATCTTATTGGTTTCCTGTTGGCTTTAGTCACTGTATGAAGATTTTTTGCCAAGAGTATATCACAGTTTACTTCATTTTGCTATGCCCACTCCTTTAAATGAACTATAGTAACTATAGTGAAAAAAAATTACAAACAAATCTGGTGTCTGAATCATTTTTTACTTTGAATCTACATAGCATCCTGCAGCAGAGACGAGCGTGACACTGAAAAGACTTGCATAAAAAAACCTCCTGCTCACCTGACAAGCATTGTACAGCAGCTGGTGCTCGAACTTCTTGATGCCAAGAATCTGCTGGAACATCTCATACAGCTGGTCCTTGCTAAGAATGAGCTCGGAGGCGGCGCTTGCTGTCATGCGCTGCTGGTGTTTGCGTGGGTCTTCTTCTCCCCTGTAGATTGTGTCAAATTTGGCTATCCATGAGCTGAGGACCGTCTCCTTGCTCAAGCCGTCGATCTCGGGTAGGCTGCGGACACGCTTCTCGATGTGCTTTTTGAAGACTTCACGCGAGTCGTTGGCTGAGCATCCACCGCTTTGGACCATGCGGGATACGCGGTCACTTTTGAGGAACACCTGCAATTGATCAAATAGAAATACTGTTGAAGTACTAATGTACTGATGAAATGGTGAGGTGTAGGGTGCACATTTGCTCAAGATTTATTTTATCAGATTTAAAATTCATTGACCAAACATCAAACAGCGTTTTATTAGGATTACTTATATCCTGTCAGTCAAAAAAGGGCAGATAAATGACTAAAGGCAGTTTTTAAGCTCTGAAATGTTGCTCCAGTGGAATTTTTATGTTTATTATTATTATTATTATTATTATTATTATTATTACTATTATTAAAGCATATTAATATAAACATCATTAAAAAATGTAGTTAATGAGTAAAGAATGTCAGCTTGAGTAAAGTTTTTCCTATAGTTGTAACTGAGACTAAGTTTAAAAATTGAGAAAATTAATATTTTAAAAATTGTAATACTGTTTGATATGGCAAAATGCATAAATGTTTATTAAACACTAATATTCAGAAGTTTACATGTGTTTGTTGTCTTCTTACAACCATACGTAGCAAATTTTACAATATACATGTTAAAAAAAAAAGATACATATAAACAGACCTTATGCCATTTCGGGATGGCGCTAAATAAGTTTATGATTTGTATATGATGTATTTTGCATTCTGACGAGCTGTAAACACATGACATGTGGTCACGTAAGGCTGCCTGCTTCACAAAACGTATGAGTTTTCAGTAATAAGTTTAATACAAGCTTAGATAAACTTAAAAACAAGGGGGATCTGTTTTAATCTCACTAGGATATATTGTGGCCAATCAATTACAGCAGGGGGCTCACATATTAATGATCCTGTGTGGAAATTAAGCACTATGTTTTGATTTGATTGGCCTGTTTACAAGAGAACAAGGGAAAAGAATGTCGGCGCTGCTGTGGTACCCTCATAAAAAACAATAGCTGTTTCTCAATATGCGTTCTTGTTTTCTCGTATAACGTCCTCATCAACCACCAAAGTTCAGTTCCAATACTGGAGACCGCAAGAACAGAGGATGCATGAAAGAACTCGGATGCATTCTTGAAATCACACTTGAGCGCAGTACTCACTCTTAAAGTCCCAGAAGTCACTCGGCTAAATAAAGGAGGTAGAAGTTAAGCATTTTATATTACTATTTATTAAGAAAGTTCAGAAATAACTTAATAATCTCAGTATTTTAACCTTGGATAAAAATATCAAGGTTTCATGATATTATGGTATCATGATAACTGCTCTAAAATATATTCTTTTTGAATGGCCGGGTAAAAAAAAAAATTAAATCCCCCTTTGAACACAATATATTTTATTTTGAGAAACATTTGAAATATTTTTCAACATTTAAATTTTATTCATTCATACATTATCTTTTCGGCTTAACTCCTTTTTTAATCGGGGGTCGCCACAGTGGAATGAATCGCAAACTTATCCAGCATATGTCCTTCCAGCTGCAAAAAACATCCATACACACTTATTCACACACATACACCATGGAAAATTTAGCCTACCCAATTAATCTATACCACATGTTTTTGGACTTATGGGGGAAACCGGAGCACCCAGAGGAAACCCACGTCAACACGGGGAGAACATGCAAACTCCACCCAGAAATGCCAACTGACCTAGTTGAAGCTCGAACCAGCGACATTCTTGCTGTGAGGCGATCATGCTACCCACTGCGCCACCATGCAGCCCAACAGTAAACATGCCAGGCTAATTAATTAAATAAATAAAATAAATAATTGATTTCTGATGTCGTCGTTCATTTTAAAAACATTTAAAACAATTCTTTACAATTTAAAACAGCACCTTTGGATATCTTTTCTGCTTGAGATACTTTTGTTCTAAAAAAAAAAAAACCATACATACATAAAAAATGATCTTACATAAACCATAGGAATGGTTTAACAGAACATTTTGGCGGTTTTAAAACCTTGACTTTTCCATAACACAGAATACCCTCAAACCATTTATTGTCCCATGCCTACACATGTCTGCTCTTTTTTGAGAAATTGAGAAACAGCCAATGTTTACCATTCTAAATGATGGGGCCGTGGCTCATCCAATGTTCAACCCCTTGTAGGTCACATTTATTTGATGTTAACACACTGTGATACTGACAATATTATTAAAATATTTAAACTAGTCCATTTTAAAATGTAATTTCTCTTTGCTTCAAACCTGTAGGTTAAGCATAACAACTCCAGTCTTTAGTGTTACATGATCATTCAAAACCCTTTTTTTTTTCTGTTAATTTGTGGTTAAAGAAACATTTCAAACATTTTGAAAACTGTTACACTAAATATTTTTGAAGATGTGCTGAATAGAAAGGTCCAATTAAAATAATGTATTTCAAATAAATAAATTTGTATATTATTATTATTATTATAAAATATGATATTTATATGTTGAACATTAAAGTATACTTCATACATTTATTTTTTATTTTTTTATCTTCCTGAGCAAAACCATTAGAACAGGAATATGTAACAGTTAAAACATGCATTACCTGATACAACAAATAACAGCTTTACCCTTTTTGACATGTCTTTTTACATGTTGCAGTAAAGGCAAATTATTGCTTAACTGATCAGTCTTAGCAGCCCCAAATGCAACTGTGATCTGAATAAAAAGCCAGACTCAGAAAATCACAAGCCAAGGCTGTTTCTCTCAATTCCAAGCGAAGCAATTTCTCCAAGTTCAAAAGCATTGGCTGCAGGTCAGCGCAACCTTGTTAAACGGCTATCAAGACACTTGAGAAATACTTTGTCCTAAATTAGACAAGATTTTCCCAGTGTAATACAGTGCACAGTAAGGTCCTGATTCATAACAAGACAAAAATCGGTGAGAATCTGGCAGTGCAGGATCAGCCTGACCGTCTGCGGTTGAGTTTAAGGTTATATTTATTTAATAATCCATTCTTTCACTCTTTTTATTTTCTATATTTTCTCTGGCCATTTGCCTTCCGTGTTTTTATCTCAGCTTCAACCTCTCTCCGGTGGATGCAATTCCCTTAACAGGCCTGGATAAGCAGGGGAGATGAGTTGACAGAGAGGGAACATCCAGCACAAATTCAATAAGAGTATCAGGGTTTAATTGAATTGAAAAAGCTGGCTTTGGCTGTGACTGAATACAAAGGCATTTCGCTCATTAGTTTCACCTCATTAAATTACCACCCGTACTGAGACCAATCTCCTTTTTACCCAATACTTCAGTCTGCACTACCATTTATTCCCAACTCACATTTTCTGGGTCATAAAAGACCTCACTTTAAATGCTATTAAAGTTTGTGTCACTTGTGTATCAAAGAGGAAAATTGTAACAATGTTTTAAAGCACTTTATTAAGAGCTGAACTTTCTTTGAACGTTTAACAGATCGATTCCAAATGTTTGTTGATGTATTTAATATATTCAGACATGGATTACTGTGCTCATCAAATCAGAATAAAGCAAACAGCTTAACATTTCTACAATCCCCTTTCAACTGCATTATATTAATGGGAAAGATGAGGGATCAGTTAGACATCCTACAAGGTAAACCACATATTCCAAACTAAGCCTTTTTAGCACAGGTATATTCAAATACACATGTAACAGCATAAATATAATGTGATTTAATGTTGAGCCAAGTAACTTACTCTCTTGTTTGTCTTGTGTTTTTAACTCACATTTAGCTTTAATCAACAGACACTACGAGCTCTATTTTAATTATCTAGGCGCAAAGCCTAAAGCGCATGGCGCAGAAGCATTAAAGGCGTGTCCGAATAAATAAATAAATGAGCAATAATACCAAAGTGTGGTCAAAAAACTTAGATATATTCAAGCACAGGCCTTATTCCTTTGCCCCATATGGTGATGCATACGTTTCTAAAAGCCAACATGTGAACAAATCTAAAAGTATAACTAACGCACTCTGTGCTGGATTTAAAACAAGCTTTCACTTGGTCAATGGAGCGGTTTATTTCAGTTCCTCAAAATAGCAACGCATCAACAATGCGCCTTAACACACCTCCTTTTTTGATCAGCACACCCAAAAGTCCACAAAGTGGTGCAAATGGATTTGCTATTTAGACAACGTGGCATAAAACATGAAAAGTACTGTTGTTTTGGTCTGAAAATAGCAACAAATCGCACTAAACACATCTTGCGCCTTATTATGTTGTGCATATGATAAGACCCAATGGCTTTAATCTTTATAATGACACTTGCAATATTAAACAACAGATTTTTCTTACTTTTTTGTACATTTTCTTTTGCAAAAATACCTAATTGCTACTCTATTTCAATCCAATTTTATGAGTAAAATATGGATAAATTCAACCAATATTTTTAAAAGTTTGATCAAAAATGTAGCCTAATGGTTGGGCTTGTACCCATATTTTGGTTAAAATAACTCACTAACTTTACTGTTCTGTGAAAAAAGTCCTGTACTGATTATGCTACAAAAGGTTAATGGAGTTAATAAAACTAATAGAATTAATGTAAATAATCTCAATTTCAAAATAACAGCTCACTCTAAAAAGGTGTACTGTACTTCTGTTATATTTTTGTAAAACATGCAAAAGTACTGGTTCATTAAGTGGAAAAAAATTACACTTAAATAAAGTGAATCAACTCATATTTTTGCAGCAACCAGATTGAATGAACTGTGAATTCTCTTTTTAGCTTACTCTCGAGGAATGGATTAACCTTCTGCACTTTCTTTTATCTCATCATAACCCACTGTTCAAACGTTTTAATATAAAAACAGTATAAACGTAAAAATGTTATTGTTTTATAAAAATAGATTTTGTTTTCCATCAGTAATTGATTCTTTATTTTTTTATGAACAAATTAAACTGATCAAAACTGACAAGAATTGTTTTAACTACATGTTTAAAACGTTTAAATTAGTTTTAGATTAAGATCTGATAACATTTCTTCCTAATTTAAATTAAAAATATTGTCATTTAGGGCATTTTTGGTATTCAGAAAATAGAAATTAGTCAGACTGTTTGCAAAAACATTACATAAAATTGACATTTTTGACATAAATGACAATTTTATTTTAAATATGAGAAAATAAATGATCTAGCCTTTTTCGAAAAAACTTTTTTTTAGTTCTTTCTATTTATTTTTTACCACAGCTATATAATAAATACAGTCTTTCTTGAGTTTAGGAATCTTCTATTAAAAACACACAGAAACGCTCTTTCAATTTAGTAAACATCTTTTTTGATGACATTATACAAGGTTTGCGTGCAAAGGATTTTATCGAAAGAAGAATTGGTTTGAGATCCAGTGCAAGTCCAGACTTGTTGCGTTGATGAATAAAATTGAAGCCAAACCTCATAGTAGCTTTGGACTGCATTGATGAAGGCCTCATCGGCTACAATCTGAGTGTCTCCATTGAGAAAGGCCTGGAAACGCTCTTTCACTGTTTGAAGATGCTGCTTGCTGATCTGAGAAGAGAAATCATCGGAGAGAGAGACAGATTTTCATTTATTATGTATACAATGTGACACCAAAAAAAAAGAAAAAACTATTAAAAAACTTTTAAGAATCCAGATGTTTCTCATCATTTACTCACTCTCAAGTTTTCAAGTTATACATTTATTTCTTCTGTTATTATTGTTATCTGATATTATGAAGAATGCTGGAAAACCGGTAATCACTGACATCGACAGTATAAGAACAGAAACTATTTTGCAAGTAAATGGCTGCTGCTTTCCAACATTCTTAAATAAATATTTTGTGTTAAAGAGAATAAAGTAACTCATAAAAGTTTGAAACATGGAGAATTTTTGAGTGAACTAAACATTCGCAAACAGAATTGCAAATATTGTGTGGCTGGAACTACACCTCTAGACCTGTGGTTAGAAGAAGAGTTCCTCATTGTCCTATTCTGAGTTATCCACCTTTTATTCTATTCTTTTGCAGCTCCTCACGATCCACTTTAAAGGATTTTGAAAGCTTAAAGTTGTTTTGTTCACTTTTTGTCATTTGTTTTCAAAGATATTCTTATTGCAATTGGTTTTATTCTTAACATCGATAATTGTGCTCTCTTGGTAGTGCACTCACATAACTTTAAGCATTTTGAACACAGGCATGGCACAAGAAGAAAACTACAAGTTGAAATCTCACTTAAAACATTTTTTAAAGCTTGTAAAAACAAACATGTAATTGATATTTATGTACACACTGAAAATGAATCTATATATATAATCTCTGCAACATTTTTGCAGTTGTTTGAGTATGTCAAAATTATAAAAGTAATTCATTAAAAAAAAACAGCACTTCTGTAAAATTTTATTCTATGAAACCAAATTAATTTCTTAGACAACAAAAGAAATTACATCATTGTTTGACCATATATAGGAAAGCTTCAATTAAGAATGCAAGGAAAAAAATTGCAAGCAAGTTAAATGTTTATTACCAAAACTCAGATTGAAAAAAAAGTGTGTAAAAAATATTATCGGTACAAAAAAGCATCCATTGTGCATGTGAATTGTTACTAAAGCAGTTGTTACTTCAACATCATTAGAACGTAATAATATTAATAATAATAATATTGTATTTATATAGTGCATTTTTTTGTACTTAAGACAGATTTTGGAGAAATCTCTTTATCTACCACCATTGTGCAACCTTTTTCCATGTGGTCTTCCATCCAGGTACTAACCAAGTGCGCAGTCCTGTTAAACCCAATAGTATCTAGCTGCAGACATACACATGCCGTTCAGACACATGCACTCAATAGAGCTAGTGACATCACATTGAGGCGTAGGGTTAGGGCTGGGGTTAGGTGTATGCATTAAAAGCATTGCATGCAATATACACCTTTGTTAACTTCAGTGGGCACCATGTGAGAGCTACAGAAAGCCATAGCTAGCATCACAGAAATCTTATGTTTTAACTTACATGGTTCAAATGAGGGATCAGGTAAACACTTGTGAGTTTATTTACCAAACAATGCATTGTACTATGGTAATTGTGTGGGAAACGCACCCCAGGGGTGAAATTCACAAAGCCATTGAGAAATTTCAAAATATATTTTTCAAGACGTTTGGAAGAATGTTCCAGGGTGTGGTTTTCTTAAGTTCTAAAATTCTAGAGAAGTTGTTTCACTCTTGTTTGTGCCCAAAGAAAGGACCTGCTGAAAGGATTATGTGATTTATAATTATATCTTGCCAAAGGTTTACTCATCTTTCTGCACTCCTTGGTTTCTGTTTGACTTGAGTTGTTTATTTGAATTTAGACAAGTAATTTTTGACTTTTCTAAAGCATAAATACCATAATATGTCTACAGATATTTAAGAAACATGCTAATTGAACATTCTTGTTTATCTGAAAAACAATGCTAAATTCAGATATCCTGCTTTGAAATGTGCATAACGTGCCAGAATGTCTGTCTTTGTTTTGGTCCCTTTAACCAGCCCAATGTCAGTTTAGCCAATTATATTTCAGCACCTTATGTTGCCTTGGTGGAAAACAGCATATTTCATTTAGTCAGTCAGGGAGGCTCTAAAAGTATGTGCCCACAACCAAAATGCAACCTCTGGTGGACAGTAACAGCCTCCAAAATGAGACACAGATTCAGAGTTTCACATAAGGTGGTTATTAATTAGCAAATAATATAAATATTACAAACGTAAACATTAGGTGAGGAGGTTACATTGTAACCCCATGTACATTGAAAAAAGTGTTGCATGCAGAACTGTTGCAAACAATTTATTTGTGTTGAATTTAAACAAACAAATTAAATTGAGTAATTTGTTTCTTTAAATTCAACACAATTAAATTGTTTACAGCCACTTAACGTAAAAAAATAGTAAATCCAAGGAATCATCTTTGAATAATTTTTTTTCAGTGTACTAAAAACAGGCTACGTGACGAGATATGCAGTGATCAGCAATTTTGCTGCTTGCACTAGATGAAACATGACAGAAATTTAAATACAGCCATTCAGAAGCACAGAATAGTGCACTTACTGCACTCCAACGAAATGGTAAGGTTTCTAATCTAATTAATACATATTTAACCTCAGTTAACATTATCAAATGTACATGAATCACTGATATGTGTTGGTTTACAGTCACAGTCACAGTTCTATCATTGAATTCCAAACAGTTTATTTTATTTTCAAGATCTGAGGTAAACTATCTGCTGCTTCAGATACTGCTTCAGCAGTATGGCAACAAATGTAATGTAAAACTGCAATTAAACACATTATTAGCATTTAACACTGAATAAAGAACATGAGGTGTAACTGTCCTGAGGTGATCAATTTTCTGTTGTAATAAATAGAAGCCGCTACTAAAATATAAATTAAAGTTAGAACCAAACTCCTTTTAATATGGAAAATATTCCTTCTATTGTGTGCCGTTACTTTTTTTAAAAACACGACTTAAATCAGCCTTTAGGCTCAATGATCAGGCACACTTTTGTTGATGCAGTCAATCTGGCAAACTTTCACTTGTGTGTTTTGAACCAGGAGAGCAATATCTAGGTCAACCACTGGGTGTCAAACTTTTAAACAAACACCTTTAAAATAACATCAGTGCTCACAACAGGTCTGCCATTAAAGATTTAATTTACTGAAAACAATATATATATTTTTTTAATCTCTAGCTGTATTTTTAAAAATCAGTTTCCACATGAAGAATGAATAGAGCTTTTACTTTCCTGAGCCTAACTATTCTGTATTTTTGCCACCTGCAACTTTAAATGCTTGCCTTGAACTTAAAGCAAAGTTCACAAACAAACAAAACATCTTTTTAACCATTTACACACACTAAAGTGATCCCAAACTAAATTAAAGTTTCTTTCTTCTGTTGAACACAAACTAATATATTCCAAAGAATTTGGAAAAGGGCATTTGGGAAAAAAAAGAATCTGGAAAAAGGTAGTCATCAACATTTATAGTGTAGTGGGGTGGTGGGGGTGGTGGAGTACTTTAGAATTGAAAGGCTGATTTTCATCAATTCCTCAACAGATGAAAGAAACCCAGCAGGTTTGTAACAATGGGGTAAATAACAGTAGAATGGATTTAAAGCGGAAAGGATTGGCTTTTACTGTTTGCATCAAAAATCTTTTTTTTTGGGGGGGGTGTTGTGAAAATTATTTTAGAGGTGTTGTGGACTTGGAATAAATTTTAAAACTATACCTTTATATGTTGTGAACAGGTCTTTAAGCATGTTTTTAATACATTGCCTTTTGGAATAAATATTGTACAGAAACTGTCTATGTCACAAGTTTTTTACAATTTTCTTCTGTAAGAGCAAGAATGTTTCATTATTCGGCCCCCAAAGTATTACGCAGCAAATGTTCTGTTTGACTCATTCAATGGAAGATGGAATAAGTTTTCATCCTTGACCTAAGATCAGCCTGACTTTTATTACTGTTAAAATTAAAGTTACATGACGAGGTGAATACGGCCTTCGCTTATGACACATAATGGCAACAGACTTCTTTTCCCACTAAATATAAGACCTCTTGCCAATTTCAAATCGAAAAACAGATAGTATTTCAGCCAAGAGGCCACATAAAACCTCTAGACATCTGAAAGTGAGAAACACTGCCCATCTGAAACACATCTTGGATGTAGGCTGGATCTGCAATAATGTGAAACAAACATCTACATCACAATGACTGTCCATAAAGTGCTGCAGCTTCTAATGATTTTTTCAGCGTTTTATCAGTATCCAATGATGCACTTTGTTTTGAAGCTTGGCTTTTTAACAGTTAAGCCTTCTCGTTTCGGTTTTCAGAGCTTAGCCGGCGTTCATGTTCTATTTGTGAAACTGGTGTTCTCTACTTCACTTGTATTCACAAAACACAAATTATTAAGAGGATGTGAGCCTTCAAAAATCTCTCATCTCATAACCAAGTCAGTGAATTGATAATTATAGAGCTTATCCTGTCTTCCTGTCTTCCTCTGTTTGTTAGCTCGATTTTTTGTGCCGTAAGAAGTTAACAGTAAAACAATACATTCAATAAAATAAATCGGCTTTATTGAAAAGTTACAAATATTAATGAGTTTTTGTGCATAATAGAAAGTTCTGGATGAAATAATTGCATATGATTCATCATACAGTAAAAATAACATATTGACAATAGCATAGGTGACTCATCGCTTGGTCCTTTGTGGTACAATGAAGGTTAGTTACACGATTGGCCAGGTTACCTTGATATAAGTGGTCAAAAAAGGAAAGATAGAAATTATATTACGCTGGTTGTAAAATGCCTGCCGCTTGATACATACAACCTGACATAACCTGAAATGTTCAAAAGAACATGAAGTAATGAAAGGTTACTTCAGACCATTGTTCTAAAGCATTATGGGTAATAGTATATAATCAATGCCACTCACATACCATTTTAACACTAAAATGAGACATTTTTAGGTGCAACAGGATATTCGTTGAGAAAAACATATGATTAGGACTGGATTTATAATTAT